CACTTTCAACAAAGAGAGTTGCTAATGAGTGCATGCCAGGTCTACATGAAACTCATTCCCACCGCAGAAAATGTCTTAGCTCTAGTTACAGGGCTGAAGTAGGTCACCCTTCATCCTTCTCTCTGTACTCATAGCTTTTGTGGCCTTTCTGGGACAAGAAAGGTACTCTTTGGCCCAAAGTGCCCTTCAGTGGCCATGGATCTCTGACTCAAGCATGGTGGGGAGAGAGAGGTAAGGGGCTCCTTCCCAATTACTCCCAGTTCCTAAGATCAGCTTCTCTCATCCCCAAGTTGAACCACAATCCTTTGAAAGCAGACACAAAACAACTGTACCTTCATCGACCATTCTCTGTCCTACCTATGTGCTGTGTCCTTAAAGCTAGGAACTGGATTTTTAATATCAAGCTTTAATATCAAATGCAGATCACTTGGTTTTTCCCATTCTTAACACACAGATATTATAACTAATAGGTTCAAAGACTAGAGTATCCTCTAATAGTTCCACAAAACGTATTTAAAAATGTAACGATCTGAATTCTTTGTGTACACGTAACATCTATAACTCTGGGACAGTGCTTACAAAACTCTCAGTATAACTTTAGAAGTGGGAAAAATGATTGAGATCCATAAACATGGGTAAGGAATACATGAATAAATACCAAAATTCTCATTGCCTCAGGGTTACACCCCCACACCCATTTCTCAAGGGCTCCCATGAAATCACCCCTAGTGTTGAAACAGAGTGAAGGTACTTGCCCCCATCTACCTGGCGGGTAATTTATGTGCATAATTTCTTTGAAACTTCAAATTTCACTTGTATTAAGAATTCCGTTGCACAATGTATTTATTTATCATGATGACAAAATAAGTTTCTAATGTCACCCTTTCAAAAAATATAAACCAGAAAGAGGGTCATTTGGCTTCACGGGTTGCTGAGCGGCCCTGTATGCACTGCGTGTTCATATTTTTAGTTTGATGGCCTAGACAGGAAAACTAGGATTTGAGGGACTGAAGTTCCGAAGATGGGGAACCTTAAATCTAGGATCTGAGAAAGTGATGATCTTGGTTCCAGCTCCTGAAAAGGTTGGATCAACCTGGCATGAACAAGGAGAAAAAGGAGGACCAAGAGGCAGTGAAACGTGCTGCCATAGGAGTAAGAACACATTGGCTAAGTGTTCATACCACAGGAAGGAAAGCCCAGAGCTGTAAATTAATTGCCTTTGAGGGGGCCATTCAAAGCATCATCAAAGACACGGGGAAATGGCCCAGACAAAGGATCTCTGGGTCCAGAGAGAGAGAGAGAGAGAGAGAGAGTCAAGGTCAGTAGCCAAACTGTGAAACGGCTTTTCAGGGATTACATTTCCTCTACCCCAGCATGTCCAGTGTGGATGAGAATCAGCTCCCTCACTACTTCTCAGGCACAAGCAGATCTATTACCACTGCTCTGGAAACTAATAATACGATCAACATTCAGTCTCTCTGCGCAAGGGCAGGCGCATGAGTTCTGAACTTTCTTTGACACATTGCGGGGAGCATCTCTTCTGGATCTTTGGGGAGGCGGGGATTCTAACATAAGGAAGAGCCAGAGCACCAAGTCCCACCCCTTCCAAATAACATCTTCAATAAGATGATTAAGGCTACAGGGAAAGATTGTGTATTTGCACCAGGCTCACACTAGGACCGTGAAATCAAACATCTGGGGCTAATCTACAGGAGGCACCATGAAGTCAGCAGCTATAAAAAGAACTTCTCCGAAAGGGAAGGCAAGAGAAATTAGAAGACAGGAAAGAGAGGGAAGGGGGGTGTGGGAGAAACGCTTGAAGCAGGAGAAGCAAGAAAGAGAAATGCACTTGGGAGATCAAATCCCCAAGCATGTTATTCTCCCTTTAAAAACCAGGAGAGCTGCAGCTTAAAATGAACTATCTGGGTCTCAGCTAGAACAGTTTGTTGCTCAGTTTCCTCTCCTCTAAAAGAGAAGTCACACACACATACACACACACACACATATCAGCCTTCATGCCTATCATGTCTAAGCACCTAGTCTTCCTTCAATGTCGTTTTCACATAAGCACCAAGACATGTCATGAATTAGAAAGGGATCAGGATAACAGATATTTTAAAAATCATGATAATAGATACTGAAATGTCCTGGCTTAAATTTACGCAGGATCTACTTTAACTAAAGCATAGTCTAAAAAATAACCGAGAGGAATTGTTCCGTGGGAGGGTATAAGATGGCTCGACTCAGAGAACATCCACTTTTTTATTGTGTCCTCTGCAAACCGTGAATTAGTCAGTGACTGGCAGAACTGAAATGTGTGCACTGCGGTGATACAATGGTACTGTAAGAAACCTATTTACAATGTGTCAGGTATTACATTATTCTCTCTCTCTCTCTCTCTCTCTCTCTCTCTCTCTCTCTCTCTCTCCCTCTGACACACACCACATGCACACATGCACGCACACACACGCATGCACACACACACATGCACATACACATGCACCACACGTACCACACACATGCACACACCAGCTCACTGAATTTTCATAAAATTTCTGGGACAGATTCCACTGTAATGTCATTTTATAAACAAGGGAATTGAGTAAAAAAAGAAAATATCTTGACAGCGTAACTAAGGTTTAATCCCAGCATTGTGATGTTAGTGGTCAATTATAAGCTTTAAGGCATGGCCATCTAGAGCTATGTTAAAAATGTGAGCACCATCTACCAATGATAAACAAGCCTAGGACCAGGACTATGGCAGCATCTCCACTCCACAGGGCAGTGGAAGACTACTCCTAGGATTCTCTGACTTCAATCACAGTGCTGCTAGAGAAAGGTGGTTAGCTGAATGCTTAATACTTCCTGTCAAAAGCAGCACCTAGAAATTTAAACCCTCATTTTAATAAATTACATTTCCACGGCACGATTAGTAGGGAGAAGCTCCTAAAATCCCAAATGCAGAAATAGAAATATAGAAGCCAGTGTAGATTCTGAGATTATACAAGGCGGAGAATCTAATGCATATGGGCCCTTCCCATGCTGCCTTGACATGGCACTCTGGGCTGAGCAATGACCTTCACTGGTTCATATCTTGTGGATGAGAAGGCCTATCGTTTATTTGTGCTCAGGCCGAAGGGGACCTTAAAGGTCATCTTTCCTTATGGCTACATCAAAATTTGGAAAGAGAAAGGTCAGCCCCAAAGCTTGCCATTTTCTTTTTGACAGTCAGAAACAAAGTAAGAGTCAAAAAGTTTATGACCAAAGACAAAGGGACTAATATCACCTATAAAGTGAGGTTTGCTCAGTCTCGTACTGAAATCAGGGAGTGAGCACTTAGGGTTGATCAGAAAACAAGGGTTGTTGTATTTTAAGGCACCTAAAATTGGCAGGGGGATGGTCTTTTAATTAAAATCATAACTGAATGTCACGATAAAAGTCTATTGCCATCTCTCTACACAAAATAGGGAAAGCAGTATCAACCAACATTTTCTTCTCTCTATTTATCATTCATTTTTTAGTTCATTTTTACTATTTAAATTAAAAATGGCATGAATAGTTAAATTTAAATTCATGAGAGTTAAAATAAAACCAAGACTATGATTTTGTAAGATGATTTCACAAGGAAAAGTTCACAAAACACTTACTTAAAAAAAGATCCAGACATAGATGATTTTTAGTGGAGTCACTTAAGGGTCGGCCGTCCTATAAATGGAGGTAGGCAGCACCAGACAGAACTTCCTTTTTGTTTTGACTTAGTGTCCCTAATAATAATTTGTGATCATCTACTAAATGGGTGGAATAATGTTCTTAAAGAATAATGTTTATAAAATCTTTGACACACCTTGTATTCCTTCCTCTTGTCCCTCCATTTAAATGATCGTCCAGAAATCAGGAATGATTTCTTCTCCTAACAGACACTTTATATCTAGTGAATAGCAACCTTTCCATTTCCCCTCACCAGCCCCTGGCCATGCTGTGACCGCTCCATTTTGTGTTTCTTCAAGTTGGACAATTTCAAATACTTCATATAAGTGAATCCTGCAGTTTTTGACCTTCCAGGCAGCCTTATCTCGCTGGAGAACATTTCATAGTAACCTCATCAAAAAGAAAAGCTGTAGATCCCTGAAGGCAGGAATGTGTCCAAAGAGCTTATCTTGGATAGAGGAAATGACAGCAAATTATGTTGTGTTGGCTGTTGATAGAGTGTGCATGCAAATAGGCATAGCATATTGTAATGGAGATATGTATCTATATATATATATATATTCTGCATATACATAACATTGTTCTGCCACTCTTCCATCTTCCATTGTGTAGTATCATCATTTTTGCTGTGCAGTTCAATGCCATTATTTTCCATTTCAACCCCAGCTGCGTCATTGCTGCTGCCAGAATCTCTGGATTTTTTGGAGAAAATATACAATTTAAAATTGTTTTTTTTTTCTTTTTTTTATCAGAAAGGAAAGTCATCAAGACTTAGATTTTATTTTAGGAACAAAGTAAGGTTTCATGGGAGCAAAAAAGAAAGCCTTGGTGTAGAGAAGGTTTGTTCACTTTCTATAGCATTACTGAAGTGTCGTATGCCTTGATAACCCTATCAATGTTTGGATCATCTCAGTGGGGGAAATGCCTTAATTTAACTCTATTTTGCTGTCTCAGCAAAGGTAAGTTGTCAATTTGAGAGCTTTGAGTTTTGGGGGGTTTGTTTGCTTTGGTTTTGTTTTGTTTTCTGAACTGGGAAAGTCTATAATTTCTGAACTGGTATGATTGTGAGTATAATATAGTCTGCTGAGCTAACTTCCTGCCTCAGTTTCCCTAAGTATAAAGGACAGATGGCCAGTGGGTGGAGGAGGTGGTGACGGGAGCTGGCCTTTAGTTATGGACCTGCCTTTAAAAAAAGTAATTTACGTCCATCAAATGGTAGGCAAGAAATACAAGTCAATGCAGGCTGGTCTTGGTTCCAGGACACTGACACTCCCTTCTTCTGTGCTCTCTAGTGTCTCTCTTTCAATGCCATCATGGAAGAGCTGGGAATCTCACTCAAGAATCAGAAAAAATTAAAGAAAAAGTCAAGAACTAAGGGCAAATCTTCCTTCACAAGTATCCTTACTTGCCATCAGAGACGGACTCAGAGAAAAGAGACTGTGGCATGATCCCAGAGCATACCTGGAGGCACCGTCCCAGGAGAAGAAGGCCATTCCCACTACACATATGTGGAGGAAGGATTTTTGACAAGAAAGAGACGTGTTTTCACATACCTTTATCCGTAACTCCAATCATGGATAGAGGTAGAAGAAATGCACAATTTTTAAGCTCACATAGATATTATTCAGAAGTGAAACATTCTTTTCAGATGAATTTGTATGCACACTTATTTTGCATTTTCTCTTTTCCCCCAATATATTGCTATGTGTGCTTTCTATATAATAATAAACACGTGGACTTTGTTTTTCATAACAAGTTTGAGGCTCGGTTTGTCCCCATTTCCTCCCTTCATTCCCAGCGCTAGCTGTTGAGTATCAGTAGCTATAGCATTTGCTGTTCTGAGATATATGTTAAGAAACACAGTCATCTGGGCTGACTTTAAAAATATCTGCTTTTAGTTTAGAGAAGTTACCTGCTACTATAGAAGGGAAAGCCATTCACCTTTGTGTTCTAAAACCTAATTTTATGCATGATTTAAATAAATACCACTTGAAAATTAGTAAGTATATTATAAAGAAATGATTTTTTAAAAGGGAAAGCACATTTAGAAGTTAACCGTTCACCACATTGTAAGACATCACGCTGATATCATTTGAGGAAAAACAGATGTGGTCTTTGTCCTCATACAAACAAGAGGAGAACGCCTATTGCTGGAAGCAGGCTCAGAATGGCCAGACACTGAACAAGCATGCAGGGACAGTCACCTGGGCCTAGGATGGTAAAGGCTTCCTGTAGGGGAAGACCAGTGACAGAATGAAACAGGCGTCATCAAGCAACATGGGAGTATGAGATGGAGGTCAGAAGGAGCCCAGGCTGGGGAAGCACTATGTTCAACGGCACTGACCTGACCAAGGTTGCAATGTTAGGTGGAAAAAGGAATAGAATATATTTAAAATGTAAGATGTGATGATCCAAACAGGGGGTTTCACACCTCTAGTTGAGGGGAAACAGAAGGAAAGAGGACAGGAAGAAAGAGAAAGTGAACTCACACCAGAGCATCTCCATGATCCAACAGGACGCCTGCCCCAGAGCTGAGCAGAATGATAATATTCCAGAAAGGAAAATGTAGCTTCTTCTCTTCATTAAAAATTACATCTAAATTATTGAGTTTTGCAGTTTCAGTATTTTTTTTGTTTCTGTTTTTGTCATTTTTGAAAATATTTATGATTTCACAGCTTATTACAGAAATTTGGAGGAAGTATATAGAAATGTAATATTTAAATATATATTGAATAACAACCTTGCTTTAGGGATACTCAACTCTCCAATTGTCAGTCTTCTGGTTTCATTTTTGCTGCTGTGGTAAAACACTATGACCAAAGGGACTTAGGGAAACAAAGAGTTTTCTTGACTTGCACTTGTGAATCCACTGTTGAGGGCCGTCAGGGAAGGAACTCAAGCAAGATTTTGAAGAAGAAACCATGGAGGGTACTATTTGTTAGCTTGCCTGCAGGCTTATGCTTAGCTAGCTTGCTTATGCTGCCCAGGGAATGGTGCCACCCACAGTAGGCTGAACTTCATTATATCCATTATCTATAAAGACACATGATCACAGAGCAATCTGTTCTGGGGAATAGTCCCTCAGTTGGAATGATACCATGCCTGTATGCTCTGTCAAGTTCACAGTTGATGCTGTCACATGACCTTTTCCCCCTCAATTTCAAAACTGAATTTTCTTTCAAAACATAAAGTTTGCTATTTGAAATTCTGTTAAAAATATATTAAAGTAGGTAAAATTGCCAATGGGGATTTTTTAAAACTAACTATAAATGCAGCGTATAATCACCTGATGTTCCATTCATAAAAGAACATTTAGTTCCTAGGCATGTGCTTGGTTTTGTGTGAGTCTGAATTCTTTCCAATGAAGAAGGGAGTAAGCTAATGAATTCTGAAACCAGAAAAAAAAATACAGAGAATCTGGAACCTGGTCCAGGAAAATTCTGAGAACAATCATTAACCTCTGAATTTTTTATCGGATTCACTAAGAAGCAGTGACTCATATAGAGTTAGTACAAATCAATGGCAAAGCTAATTAAAAGGTAGGTCTAACATTTCTTCCTTCAGCAGTTTCTTTATGCTAAAAGAACTAGGCTGCTCAGGTGAGAAATTCAGGACGAGAGAAAGGTCAGGATTGAAGGAATGGTGATGTTCACAGTTAAGATTTATTCTCCATTCACGTCTCACACCTGGCCCTGGTGGCAGAAGAAAAGGGAACGTGACAACTTGCCTCCCCTGTGGGCTGCACATACACCTGGGGCTCTGACTTCTCATGCTAAAAGAAGGCAAAAAAGGGCCAGTTAAAGAAAACTAAATAAAGGTAAAGCTGATTTGACCTGCACTTTATTTTCAACCTCAGCAGAGTCAGCTCTAATGTAACTCTTTGTGTCACCGCAATGGATATAAGATTGTGGTATCATGAAGATTCTGCATTTGCTTCAATTGATAAATAATGAACCGAGTGACAGTGTCCATTCAGGGAAAGATCCACCAGGCGGCTACCCATGCAGGTGATTCTTTGAAGACACGTCAAGTCTATAGTTTTCAAATCATATGCTGCACCGGGTTCTCCACAAGATGATTGGAACCAAGTTGGAACACTGGCCTCTTTTAGAGGCAGAAATTACTGTGCATTTACTCAAATCCATTAATAGTTTATTCTTCTAGCCTAGAGCAATGGGTGGAAGACAGACATTAAATGGTCCATGATATGCAAAGCAAGGAGTGTCAAAGCTGTGCAGAACTAAAGCAAGCCCTTCCTCCAAGGTACTGGAGTGTCTGTGGAAGGTGCTCCCTCCAGTAATGAAGACGGAATTAATAGACGGAACTGGGCTTCAAAAGCAGATTTTGAGCTTCTGGGATTTTGCGGTGTAAGAAGAGAAACACATTCATATTGCAGTTTTTAAAATTCTCTGTAAAAGGAAGAAGGACAAGCTAGAAACGGAAAATCCACTAGGAAGAAGGTGGACATCCTACATTTAGTAGCAGAAGCAGTTCCATAATTCTCTAGAAAGAAATGACTATAGCATCCTGACAGGCAATCTTCTAGAACTCCAGAAACATGTAAGCTGACTCTTCAGAGGACTGCCCTCCTGCTATGTCATAGCTGTAACCGAGGACCTTGCTTTTAAGGTTTAACTTCATAATGTCCACTAAGAGAAATGTGTTCATTTCTCAAGAGCCTCCTCAATTAGTGGATATTTGAAAAAAGAATGTGTGAGCAGATATTAGCAAATGTGTTGATTTGTGTAGTGGTTTGAATGAGAATGCCCCCTAAAGGCTCATATATTCGAATGTTTGAGTCCCAGTTAGTGGACTATTTAGGGATGACTAAGAGGTGTGGCCTTGTTGGAGGAGGTATGTCATTAGGAGTGGGCTTTGAGGTCCCAAAAGCCCATGCCAGGCCTCTTCTGTTTCTCCAACTTGTTGATGTAAGCTTTCTAGCACCATGACCTGTCTACTGCCATGCTCCCTGCCACAATGCTCATAGGCTCATACTCTGAAACCGTCAGCAAGTCCCCAATGAAATATTCTTTTCTAAGTTGTCTTGGTCATGGTATCTCTTCACAGCAATCAGATAGCTTGTTTGCAATCATTTTATTTCTTCTCGTGTTCTCCTTATTGCTCATCACCTTTGCAATGACTAAGTGTTCAGACATTCTATTTTTTCCTCCACAGTTCTACATGCAGCTTCTAAGCTAAGAAGTCACATTATTAAGGACATTCTTTCCATCACAACAGTCCTCAGATAATATTACACCACAGGATATAGTTCACACTGACCCCCTATGCCCTTTTTTTGGAAACTACAGTGTTGAAACAATGACATCAAACATGTACTGTTGGTTAAATAGGAGGACATGTAAACTAGACCAGCAGTTCTTCCTGGGTTTATACTGGGACTCTGACGGATAGAATTAGGGATGAGGAAAGATAGCCAAAAGCTAAGGTCAGAAGGGCTGTGAGGGTCTGTGATCCACACCAGTGAGTGTTTTTGTAGCATCTCACCTTCCAGCACACTCTCAATCAGGAAGCAGAAATCAAGCCAGTATAGAACATCAGACAGTAAAATTACAGGGAACTCAGAGAGCCTCAAGGTCTTCTTCTGCAAAGTGCATATTGGTCCAGTATGCAAAACACTGCACACCTCTCAGTGTCTGGAACATCTGATCACAGGGGACCTGTCAATCTTCAGAACCCAGCTCGGGCCCCTCAGAGACCTGGCACCTGTCCGTTGCTGCCCTTGCCAAGCATGACTCAAGCAGGAATTCTGAGCTCTGCATTCCTTATTACATCCATATGGATCCCAAAGAGCCTTTGCCCTACCTCACTCCCAACAGACAAGGAATGCCTACAACCCAGGACGAGCCAGGGTTATCAAGAATCAACATCAAAGTAACCTTGACATTTCATTTAGAAATTAAAAGAAAATTACACATAATATATAACATGTGTGTGTGTTGTCCTAGACTCTTCTGGGAACTGTTCTCAGTAGCATATCAAAGGCATATTATCAGATAATGTTAACTATAATTTTAGCTAGCACTCATTTAATGACTCTACAACAAATCAAAACACTGATTGTATACTATTCATAGCAATAATAAGTAAATATTATTCGTTATAATTACAGACATGTTCAGAGAGGTAAGATACATTGCATCATGTCATTAATCTATAAATTGGTAAACAATACAATGCAGCCCTGCCCACACCATCACCACAACCATATCCTATTCACACCTAACTTCTAGAGATTGCATCATCCACAAAGTTCATTTGTCCCCCAGCATACACAACTTCATGTGCCTGCTCAGCCACAACACATGAAGCTAAGACATCAAGTTATGCTCTCCACCAGAGAAAAATAAACCATTAATATAAGAAAATAAGCTAAGTATTTTATAAACCCAGAGTGCTTACTGAGAAGAATGATGGTTCTAGCTTCAATCTTTCAGAGTGAGTGTAATTTGAGCATTCAAAAAATGCAATCTTAGCTTTTTACTTAAGTCCAAATTTACATTCAAATTTTAAACAACTATTCATGGGGTAATTAGTCCTTTCCCACCATCTCTTAATAGAATAGACAGACAGACGGACTGACTGACTGACAGACAGATAGTTGACAGATAGAGACAAATAGATGATAGATAGACAGACAGACAGACAGACAGACAGACAGATAGATAGACAGATAGATAGATAGGTAAATAACTATTGATGTTACCAAGAA